GCAAAGGAGGACAAACTCACTATTAATACCCTTCATTTCAGAAGAAACCATGTCTACAGACGTTTGGACAATATAGTGTATCGTTTGTTAGTTATCAGTGTTGTCTTTGAGATACTGGTAACACAGAAGACTGCAATAAGAGCTCTGTGCTATGAGCACAAAGTTCATTACAGTCATAACACAGAGCAGTAGAATCATGCTTTGGTGCTCTGACCACATTGTTTAGCACTAATGTAAATGCTTGTGAAAGCAGCATACTGGTGAATATGAACCCCGTGTTGGATTCCTGCTCTTTACGTGGAGGCGGGGATGAACAGGACTGACGAGAATTCTCTCTGACGCCTGGTAGAGCTGGCTAGCCCTGAAGGAGCTCAGAGGGCCTCTATGACCCTCATTCGCCCTCCACAGTAACGTGTGAAGTCCTCCCACAGGGAGATCTCCTGGGAGAGGCTTGTGAAGGGACACAACACCTCTTCAGCTCCTCACTTGCTTGGTTGTGTTGCACACATTGTGTTAGAGTCCAAGGACAATTTCTGCCTAAACTCTACTCGCTGGTATCTCATACATTTTGCTTTCTCCATACAGATTTATATCTGATTTTGAGCTTGTGGCAGTGTAGTGTAGTCTGAAGTAGACAGTATTAGGGATGTGCACAAGTATTCTGTTTAAGGCCTTTCAAAGTGCCAGTGTCTGAACACTGAATCGAATCACAATTACTTACGCTGACTTCATTTTCCACAGTCTTTCACAGATTCCAGTCGTGTTAGAAAATGAAGAATCATCTTCTTATTTAAAAGTGTACTTAAATGCTTCCTTGCATGGTTAAATGGTTCTTCAGATTGATGAGAATGTGGTATATGTAGAACCATTTGGAAAATGGTTTTGTATAGCACGAAAGGGGTTCTTCTATTGGTACACGCTGGATATCGTAACAATAGCAGAACGCTTTTTAGTGCTGTATATAATTAATATACTTATTTTCAAAATGGTGCTATACCAAACCATTTACAACACATTCTCCAACAATCTGAAGAGCGATTTCACTAGGCAGTGAACCATTTAAGCATGCAAAGGGTTGTATATAGAACTCATGGTTCTAAATAGAACCTTTGCCTTTACTTGAAAAAACATCTTTTTTGAGAGTGCTAGTCCCAATTTCTACGTTTTATAAAAATTTATGGTAGATATGCACGTTTGAGTCTGCCCACAATTCCAATATTGATACATCCTTATGATTAGCATTCATAGTTTTATTTCTGATCCTCATCCTGAGAGTTCAGAATCAGTGTTAACTTTTCCTTCTTGTGAGAAAATCTGCTTGCAATGGTAGCAATGGGTAAATATGTATCACTGAGAATTTGTAAGTGATTATTTGCAAATCCCACTTGTTTATTAATGAGTATTCTGTGTATCATGTGGACAAAACCTTGGAAATATGTATATACAGCTGTGTGTAGCCAGAAGCTAATATGTTTGTTGTTAGCGGTTTGTCTACTTTATCTCTCACTAAATCTGAACAATGATCATGTATTAGAATTTATGTATTTATTTTCTTTTGTTGTTAAAAAGTGTTGGTAGTACTTGATGCATTTCCACTTCCACATCTTTGTGTTATATTTTTCCATATTGCTCACCCCACTGAGCAGCCTGAACTAGAATGCTTGTAGGTAGTGCAGAACTGCAGTCTCTGAAGTCTCGTTCTTGTGGCCCCCTCGCGTTCTTAACAAAGGACGACACTGTAACATGTCAAAGACAGAGGAGGCCATTTGTACAGAATAGCCTCAGTGTTCGAAAGCAGAGTGAGGTCAGTGTTCTCACATCAGAAACTGACAGGCAGAGATACAGCGCGATGGTCAGAGACCCTTCACAATCTGTGTCCCTAAAATCCTCATAGTGTCCTTCGGGGGATCAGAGTCAAGGGTCAAAACCAACTGTTTATGGATTAATATCTCCAATTCTAGTGTATAGTGGAATTCATTAAAGTCGTTTTCAGACTAATATCTCCTAGCATATCGGAGAGTTTATTGAGGTTGTACATGGGCTAATATCTTCTATTCTAGTGCATTCATTGAGGTTGTTTATAGACTGACATATCCTAGTGTATAGGAGCGTTTATTGAGCTTATTTTAGGCTAATATCTTTCTAATTTAGTATGTAGAATACTTATTGAGGTTGCTTATGGACTAATATCTCTTGTTCTGGTGTATATGTGCGTTTATTGAGTTTGTTTATGAGCTAGTATCTCTAATTCTAGTGTATAGGAGCATTACTTGAGGTTGTTTATGGGCTAATATCTCCTATTTTAGTGTATAGGAGCATTTAGTGAGGTTGTACATGGGCTAATATCTCCTATTCTACAGTATAGAAGCATTTATTGCGGTTGTACATGGGCTAATATCTCCTATTCTAGTGCATTTGGTAAGGTTGTTTATAGACTGACATCTCCTAGCGTATAGGAATGTTTATTGAGCTTATTTATGGGCTAATATCTTTCTAATTTGGTATATAGAATGCTTATTGAGGTTGCTTATGGACTAATATCTCTTGTTCTGGTGTATATGTGCATTTATTGAGTTTGTTTATGGACTCATGGCTCCTATTCTAGTGTATAAGTGTGTTTATTGAGGTTGTTAAAGGGCTAATATCTGTTATTCTGGTGTATAGGTGCGTTTACAGGGTTGTGCTGAATCTGTAGATAGAGCTGTAACGCTTGATGCACTGTCAAAAATGACAAAAAAAATCAAAACTCAAAGCAGAAAGGTCTTAATGTAGGTCTGACATGGATCTAAATTCAAGTTATTGATCTTTTCAGTGAGCCAGTGTCTCTGTTTGTCTCATTTTCACTGTAGCCACAGAACAAAAGGTGCCCGGGGGGTTCTGCTCCTCCACCTAACTCACTGTGGTTCTTGGAAAGAGAACAAAGTAGCGTGTCGTCAACGAAAGGGGACATTTGGCAGGAAGTGGGTGTCCCAGTTTTTTTCCTATAATTCCTGCTGGATGCAGGCCTGTCAGGACACACGTCTGCTCGAGTTTTGGCGGCACAAGAGAGGCATCGCTGCCAAGGCCTCACTGATTACTCCATCATTCTGCTTAAACTGCTTTATTCCATCAGATACAGTTTCGCCATTATTCTAATGCAGCACTCAGAGTGAAATGAAAGTGAAAGGTAAACCGAAACTGGGATTTCAACCACATTATTAACTGCACTACAGCCATTTCCTGCTCTGAAAGCAGTAGCAAAATTGATTCTAATGAGTGCATCATTTCCACATTAATAAAGTATATTACTATATATCAGTCTTTCAGTTTGCCTACTTTTGGCAGAGTAATGTACATTTTATGATTTTTTTTTTATTTTTTTTTTCCTAATTCAATGCATCACTATTTTTAGTGTGTTGTTTTTAGAAGCTGTAAGTAAACAGTCAGATGTGCCAACAGTGGCATTTCCGCCTTCTAAAATACAGCCGGTACTCCCCTGTAATGATCTGTATATAGAACAGAGGCTTAATTATGTTAACAAAAAAACAAAAACGTTTGTGGACGATGCAGCTACCGAACATCAGGAAAGATCAAATTTAGATAAAGAATTAAAGCCTTATTGTTTGTTCCTGTCTGTGATTGATTGATTATAGTGGTGTCCTGATACTGGTGTCACCCAAGGATACTGTTTTTAGCTTGTTTGGTGTTTCGGATTGTTTTAAAGGAAAACGGTTCAAAAGACATAAAAAGTAAATAAGCAGTAAAGTTTTTCCAGTAAATGTGTTTTCTGTGTGATGATGGTTTGCATTACTGTGTAAGTTAGGTAAAAGGTAGCATTAACATTAATAGATGCACTTGTTAACTGTAATAATGCCAAATTATTACCATTTATTATTGCTAATTTTTTAGCTTTAACTTTATTAATGCTACCTTATTAACTTAAAAATGAAACTTAAGTTCTTGTAATGCGTATGTATGAAGTATATGAATGCTGACAACGCTTTATCTTTATTCATGCTAACCTTTTAAATGTATTCATGCTAACTTATTAAATTTATTCATGCTAACTTATTACATTTATTCATGCTAACTTATTGAATTTATTCATGCTAACTTCTTGTCTTTATTCATGCTAACCTATTCACTTAAATAATGCTAATTTTTTTAACTTTATTAATGCTAACCTGTTAACTTTATTGATGCTAACTTTATTTATCTTAATTCGTGCTAACTTTATCTTTATTCATTCTATCCTTGTGCGCTTTATTAGTGCTAATTTATTAACTTCATTCATGCCATCCTATTCACTTTATTAGTTCTAATTTATTAACTTTATTCATGCTAACCTATTTACCTTATTAGCGCTAATTTATTAACTTTGTTAACGCTAAACTATTGACCTTATTAATGCTAACATTAAATGCTGACTTTTTTAATGTTAACCTATTCATTTAAATAGTGCTAATTTATTAACCTTATTGTTAACCTATTAACTTTATTAATGCTAATGTAATGGGTTCAGTTTTCACATTTGGGAAAATGCTGTGATGTTGAGTCTGTATGGTGCAGAATTCCTTCCTGGCCTTGCTGTTTGCACGTACATTCATGAAGGAAACATTCGGTCTCTGAGTTTGAAAGTCTGCACAGTAGTGTGAAAAATGGTGGTCAGCAAAACGAGGCGGCTCCATGCGTCTCTGTTGGACAGCAAAGGCAGAGAAGCCACTGTATTAATCACTAATAAAAAACCTCCCAAAAATACTCTCAGCTACACAACAAGGTGACCTTCGTACTAAACTACACTGTCTAAATCACACTGTCAGATACTGGAGTGCAGTGACAGTGAAGATTTAATCAGAATCTGGTGCTGGGAATCTAAAATTCCTTAGTGTTTATATATATATATATATATATATATATATATATATATATTTTCTTCTTTCACTGAAAAAAAAAAGTTATTTTGCCATTTTTTTCATGTTTTTGTCCTCTCTCTCTCTCTCTCTCTCTCTGTCTCTCTGCAGGAAGAAATCTTTCCTCTTCTCTGCGCTCTACGCGGCCTGTATACTCGGCGGGCGCCACGTGATGAAGCAGAGGGAGAAGTTTGAGCTGAGGAAGCCGTTGGTGCTGTGGTCATTAACTCTCGCCGTCTTCAGGTGAACATTCGCAAAGTTCATTTTTATTGTTAGATTTTGAGACAATGACGACACAAAAACTAATCTACAAGAAATCGTATGTAAATGTTTGGTTGCATAGCCAGTCTTGTGTTGAGGTCAGAACTAAAGCTGTGTTCAGACTGCAAGTGAATCGGATTTATATCTCAAGTCTGATCTTTTGAGATTTTTGCTTTGTAAGTGGTCAGATTGGATTTGTGTGTCTAGACATCACCAGTCTCTATAGGTTGCCATGGTTACGATGTAGGCATCATTAACTACGTAGCTACGGCGGTGATGCAGATTTCAAACGTGGATGCAGGAGAGATGGAGGTGCATCAGCTCTCCCTCCAAACTCTTCAGAATTCACTGGCATAAGTATGAATCCTCTGAGCTTTTCTTCAATCCCAGCACTTCCGTCACTCTGGGTTTGACGTTGTTGTTTGTTACGTTGCGAACGATACAAAAGGCACTTCAAAATCCGTTTTAAGCGTCCAGAGCGTCCAGACTGAGACGAATCTGTAAAAATCTGATTGGAATCACATTTGAAACCACCTCCAAATGTGGTTTAGATCAGAATTGCAAAAATCTGAATTCGTGAGTTTTTGCTGTCCAGACTATCAGAAATCAATCTGGATACAATCTTTATGTGACAGAAATCAGATTTGGGCTGGCAGTCTGAACAAGGTCTGTGGTATAATTCGTAGGATGTGCATGAGTATTCATTCACATCCCTAAATGTGTAATAAATCACATTTATGTCTAACCATGTGGACTTATCTATCTCCTAGTGATCTGCTGAAGACACTTTTTTTTTTGCCTGCTTTGGTTACTTTTTTGTTACCTTTCTGCTGTTTTAGTATATTTGGTGCCATCCGAACTGGGAGCTACATGACGTACATCCTGATGACCAAAGGCCTGAAGCAGTCTGTGTGTGATCAGAGTTTCTACAATGGACCGGTCAGCAAGTTCTGGGCGTACGCTTTCGTGCTGAGTAAAGCACCCGAGCTCGGTGAGGCGCTGTGTAATCCACACTTTTCATTTAACCCCTTTAATGCTGAGGCAGAGTCTGTTCTCCTTCACTGAAATAAATAGTGCTTTGAATTGACTTGAGAAAAACTGCTGCATGTGTTTATCTATTTCTAACGTTTTTGAACAAGTAAATATTTTTACATTTACTTTGGTTAAAAAGAAGGTCGTAAGCATCAAAAGTTTGTCTTGGTCATCTTCTAGTTTGACAGTCACACACTGGCGCCGTTCAGTTACCACTCGCTGTCTTTAGTGAGCTCGACTGGGAAATGTTCCTGAACAGGAGCTGAACGTGAGGAATACTTTGCCTTTTCCAGCTCCAGTTCAGTCTCTCCACTCGCCATTTCAAACAGCTCGGCTGATCATCCATCTAAGGCACATAAAGCTGTAGTTAGCTTCTTTGCCATCTTCTTATTGAAATTCTCCTCAGGAGTCAGAGTGTAACGGCTGCACTATTTAAGGTGGAACAAAAAAATTGGGTAAAAAGCTAACTTCAGCTCTGTCCAATGCAGGCTAACCAAACCAGTTTATTTCAGTTCTGAGAGCTACGTGGCAGAATTTATGTATTCGATACACAGTACATATCAGCTCACAACCCCCATAAGGTGTTGTGGCACTCCTAATAGTGTGTGTGTGTGTGTGTGTGTGTGTGTGTGTGTACTTAATATCCGCTAGTTAGGTTACATAGACTTGGTATCGGTATTGGCTGATACATAGGGATAATATACAACTCGGCCAGATCCACTGTATATATGTATTGGCCGATGTTGATGACCCACAGTTTTATTGGTATCAGCAAAAACATTGACGACAACATTCTGATAATTAGATTTTTTGGCCTGTGTCATTACTGCACAGACAGTTGTGCTACTAGGGAATCCATTATGAGGCACCCCTCATGCAACAGTTTAACTGTGTTAAGGAAATACTGAAAGCTCAAAACTCAAAGCAGCATCATATACAGTGTCCAAACCTCACCTTTACCATGAGAATAACATTATAAAACACAACCCCTTTTTTGTAAAGAAAAGTGAGTAATAATAAGACACTTACCAAATAAGAATATGAGGCAGTTACCATCATCAGTCAGTAAAGGACTGTTTAACTAAAACTACAGTGTAAAATTAAATCTAAAACATATCGGTTATCAGAATCTTTACCGCTTTGAAATTTTATATAAAATTTCTAAAAAGAAGTTCAACTCTTATCTCTCAAGTTTTGTCAACCAGTTATTCAGAATACAGCCATAATATTGATACTTATTGTTGTTTTTTTGCAATATATTGACAGTATAGTCAACATACTTTATATAATTTTATTAAATATCTTAGGAAAATGTTTTCATCATTGCACTCTGCATGGGCTAAAATCTTACATCCTAGTCAGAAAGTGAACTTTATTTAAATGACATTGGTGACTCATGCTTATTCTCATGTTTTATGAATGTCCAGTTTTAGAAGGTTGTAGAACGAGTCTTTGAACAAACCGGATCTTCAGCTCATCAGCATAAACTAAACACTAACGTACAGCCTGGAACTTCTTGTTAAAACAAATGCCTTTGTCCGCGCTCTCTACATATTTTAGTACTGTAAGGGAGCAACGCATGACTTTTCAGAATATTTCTAATACAAATGAATGGGTGTTTGTCGTCGCTGTACCATTACGCAACATGTTAAACAGAATGCAGGTAGGATTTCACCACTTTTCTTTACAAGGAACTGCAAAACTGAAGGAAGATGTGACAAAATCAGAGGATCGTAGGTTTCTTCCCCTTGTTTGATGTCAGAGTTCAAATCTTTCAAGTTTTTAAAGCACATTTGGACCAAAAGAGTTTAGATTTGAGCTTTTAACTTTTTTAAATAAAATGACTTAAACAAGTAAAAAAAGGTTAAAAATGCTTAAAATGAGGAAAAAAATAGGTAAAACAATCTTATAACAAGCTTAAAGCAATCTCAACATGAGGGATGTTAGACATACCTGCTAGATTTATGATCAGTTCATTTGCCAAGATACAATTTTTATCACCAGTGACTAAACTGGTGATACGCCCGTTGGTTTTCTCCGAGTGTATTTATCATCTTTAATGGAAACTAGTGTCAGCTGTTATCTGGGTGTCTGGGTGTGGCCTGTCAGAGTCCCAGGAAAGTGGGTGGAGATGCTGTGGACACACCCTCTCTCAAATCACTGCGCTTTTTTCTGAAGAGCTTATAAATTGTAGGTTGTGATTTTTGAGGGTTTACTTAGAGAAGAAATTTTATTAGAGAATTTTTATTTATCTGAGCCAAACCAGTCTGTGTTTAGAGCGCTACAGTCTCTTTTTAACAGTTTTAACATACAGAAAAATCTAAAATCTAATTGCATCTTGACCTCTTATTGAACTTGAAAATATGTGCATTATTATGACCCTACACTTTTACTCAAGAGTGTTCTTTAGTAAAGGCAGTGTTTCTGTATAGAACCGTGAACACTCAAAGAACCATTTGCATGGTAAAATCATTCTTCAGATTGATTTGAGAATGTGCTCTATAAGGTTGTATGTAGTTTTTACATAGATTGAAAAAGTTTGAACAGACAAATTTGAACCTCTAATGAAAAAGAGAAAAAAAATACAATAATAATAAACCTACAACTACAATGATTTTTAATCAGTGTTTTACAAACCGCACAAAATCAAATTAAATAAGCATAATTATGCACACTTTGTAACGAGACATGTAGTTGATCAGTCGTCTTAAAGTACTGACGATATCCACGATATGCCCAGAAAAGCGTATTGGGACACTTATCACAGTGATGATAAAATATTGTCATATTGCCCACCACTAACTGTATAGTATAGAGTCCGATTTTCAGCTTGTTTATTGGTGCACCTGCAATTTGTTGCAGTATTTTTGCCTACATAATTGAATAGTAAGGCAAGGTGCCCCTGATCTTTTGACATGCTGTGTCTTTGCTGGTTTCTCTGACTGTCTGTGTGTGTGTCTGTGTGTGTCTGTGTGTCTGTGTGTCTGTGTGTCTGTGTGTGTGTGTGTGTGTGTGTGTGTGTGTGTGTGTGTGCTCTCAGTGCTTGAGGGATTGTAGCTGTATTTTCTGCCTCTGTGAGTCTTTTGTGCTCGCCCCTCCCCAGAGAAAGAGGAATACTCTCACAAACGCTGGTCCCCCCCCACGGGCCAAGTTCTACTTGATGAACCATGACTTACACATTCACGGCCTGTCAGTGACGCAGCAGAAGAGTCCACACTCATACAGACTGTTTTATACAATACAATGCAAGGACATAGAGGTCCAACATATGAGCCATATGCACTGTTTATGTAGGAAGCATGTGTGTGTGTATGTACATATATATTACTTGTACATGTATGTATGCTGTCACTGCAGTGCTGAGAATGATCCACCACCCAAATAATACCCAAATAATACCTCCTGTGTGGTGGTCCTGTGGGACTAACTATAGAACTACAAAGTGCTCCTATATGGTCAGTGGAGCTGATAAAATGAACAGTAAATGAAGATACAAGGATGTGTTCCTATTAAAGTGCTCTGTGTGTGTGTGTGTGTGTGTGTGTGTGTGTATTGTAAAGTCATAAATTAAGTGTTCCACGATTACGTTTCATTTAAAACATTTTGCTAATTAAAAATGTATCAGCAAACTTCTCCATGCATGCCACAAAAAGTCAATAGCCGCTGCAATTCTCAGAATTAAAAAGCCTTTATTATAACATTTTATAATAATGGCTTCGAAAAAAAGAAAAAAAATTCCCCACAGAGGATTTTCCTCAGCAGTGCACATGTGAAGATGAGTTCTTTACAAAGCCGTAAAGCAAAACAATGAAGGTGTCCCATGAAGCTTAAAACAATAGCTTTGTTGGACTGTGTGCTCTGCAGGACCCTGCAGTGTGAAGGTACAGTGTGTTCTGTCAGGCAAACAGCTCGATGTTTTCACAGTGTTCTGTACCGTGAAGTTAAGTGAGGCTTAAATGGCCAATTTTAAATGCCGTAAGGCTTTACACTAGATGTTGAAACATTGCTGTGAGGATTTGATTGAACATTAGTGAGGTCAGGTACTGATGTTTAATGGTCAGTTCTGGATCACTCCAACTCATCCCAAAGGTTTTGTATGGAGCTCCGTCACTCCAGAGAACACAGTTCCACTGCTCCACAGCCCAGTGCTGGAGGGCTTTATACCCCTCTAGCCCACGCTTGGCATTGGACATGGTGACCTTAGGGCCCTGACTCAGCAATATACATTCACCTTTTACCTCCAGCGCCACTAACAGTGGTTTACTTTCACTTTTACAGTCTGTTTAGCTTAAACTCCAACATTAAACGTTTGTAAGACATTTAAACAGCATATTCTTTGCTGTGCATGTTATTTTTTTTTTTTACTAGTCTGAAAATTGCAGCTCCTAATACAGAAAGCTGTTCCCCTTTTGAGCAGGGAATTACACCCATTTTTCAAATGTGTTTAGATGGTTAACATGTAAACAAAATCATTCAGAGTGGTTTGGTGTGAAATGCTCTGTTCTAGGAAAACTTACCGAGTCAGAATTGTTCACAGTGGTGGTGATAGGAGCCAGATGTCCACCACTAAAAGCTCCCTCACTGTAATTTATTACATGAAATGGTTATGAATACACTGCCTGATGACTGAGACATTGTTTTACGGTAGTTTCGAGAAGATTTTGGCCTTAAATTCCATTTATGGTGGAGGGATCCATAACATGCAGAGTGTTGTGAGGCAAAATGGAAAACTTATTTTTTCAGATTTTCCACTACTTTACCATCATCAACATTATATATTAAAAACACTTGTAGGTTCACTGGTGGTTTTGGAAAGTAAATGAAATGTTTATATTTGTGTTGTAGTCATGGCGACCCTTGGTTCCTATCACAACCACCGTAAAGAAATCTGAACCATTTCACTATTCAATGACATCTCAACTACTCAATTATGAAAAAATTTTGAAAATCGGTGGATTTCCACTTTAAGTACGGGCATGTCTGTAGTCTCTGTGCTGTTTAAGAGCACATTTTTGCAGGAAATGAGAGACGATGGTGATCATAAAGATTCATTCCTGAATTATTTTTATTGTGCCTTTCTAATCAGAAAGATTTCTCAGTGCTGTGTAGACAGAAAGACCGAATTAGTCATTCTGCAGCTTATCTACAGTAACGTTTGTGTTGGCACACTTTAACCTTTTATACATTACGCAAATAGAAGCTCTGCCAGGCTGCTGTTTACTCATCGATAAACTTTAACAGAGGAGAATATCCAGCTGTGTGAGACGCATGAGAAATAAAATGCACGCTTTGCCCCATTTATGGCGTCACAAATCTGAGAGTTGCTGAGCGGGACAGAGATAAGATTTTGCTACGTCAGATTAGGGTAGTAGATGTGTAACTGGTTGCTAGGTGTATTTTTATACATACAACTGTTAACATAATATAATATCAGGTTAACCCTCAGAAGGCCAGAGTTAAATGTTATATAATTAACTTACTTTCTGTTTGGACAGGTTAGAGTTTCCACTTCTGGCCTTTTTTTTCCTGTTTGTTTCACCAGAAGAATTATAAAAGCATGGCAGAAATATGAAAGACAAGTTCCACCTCGCAAAACAAGACTGCACACATAACAGTAACTTTTTTTTTTTAATTTTTATCATGATAAAATATCTCCTATGTACAAACACAAATATGCTGTGATTTAACTTTAGAACCTGCACTTTTGGCACATCTCACCACTTCATTTTCTCTTTTTTTTTTTTTTCATAATTCAGTGTTTGAGATGGAAACAGAGTGATTCAGAGTGGTTTGGTGTGAAATGGTTGATTGTATGGACTCTTTACAGTGGTGCTGATAGGAACCAGGGATGACTACAAATATAGCCTTTTTATTTACTATCCAAAACCAACAGTGAACCTACACGTGTCTTCTGAGCTTTTATATAGAATGTTGATGATGGTAAAATAGTGGAAAATCTGAAATAATAGGATTTCTTTAGGGACTATTTTGCCTCACAAAACCCTGCATGTTATATGTCCCTCCACCATGAATGGATTTTAAGGCCAAAATCTTCTCAAAAACTATCATAAAACAATGTCTCAGATATCAGGCAGTGTATTCATAACCATTTCATGAAATAACTTTCTGTGAGGGAGCTTTTAGAGGTGGATGTCTGGTTCCTATCACCACCACTGTGAACAACTCTAACTCTGTAAGTTTCTCTAGAACGAAGCATTTCACACCAAAACACTCTAAATGAGTTTGTTTTCATCTTAACCATTTAACTATGCAGACATTTTGAAAATTTGTGGAGTTTCCCTTTAAGGCAACAGTTTTGGAAAAAATCCAAATGTAGTTGATCAGCCAAGACATGAAGTTTGCTTTTTTTAGTTTCACAATGGGGCTACGAGGCTGCTGTAGCTAACAAATAATTGGAAGCTTATACCACGCCAAATAGCATTGTGCTAACTAATTAGCCTTTAATTATGCAGAAATTTAGGAAAATTGGTGGTGTTCCACTTCAAAAACTGGTAATTTCAATGCTTGATTATTATATGTCCAGTGCTTTCCTCTTTAAGTGTCTTTATCTATTGTTTAACAGTTTATATTCTCTCTCTCTCTCTCTCTCTCTCTCTCTCTCTCTCTCTCTCTCTTTCTCTCTTTCTCTTTCTCTCTCTCTCTCACATTTCTCTCTTCCCTATTTATCTCTCTTTCCCTCTCCCTCAACTTATTTCCCACATGTATCACTCTCTACTGCTCCCTTTCTCTTTTTATCTCTCTCTTATTTCCCACTTCTCCTTTTACTCTTTTCTCTTTCTCTATCTTTTTTCTTCCCACTTTTTTTACTCACACTCTCTCTATTCCATTTATCACTCTACCACTTTCCTTTTCTCTTCTTTTCTCTATCCCTCATTCATATTTTACTCTCTCTCTCGCGCTCTCTCTCACTCTCTCCTCTCCCTATTTTCTCATTTTCTTTCCCCCTGCATCTCTATCTCTCTCCCACCCACCTTGTTCTTTCTCTCTTCCATTTCTTTCTCTGCTCCATTTATCACTGTCCACCTCTCCCTTTCTTTTAATGTCTTTCTCTCTTTATATTTCTTACTTCTCCTTTATTACTGTCTTCTCTTTTTCTCTTTCTTTATCCTTTTTTTCTCTCTCCCCTTTATCCACTTTTTTTCTCTTTCTCTTTCTCTCTCTCTCTCTCTCTCTCTCTCTGTCTCTCTCTCTCTCTCTCTCTCTCTCTCTCCCAGGAGACACACTATTCATCGTCCTCCGTAAGCAGAAGCTGATCTTCCTGCACTGGTACCATCACATCACCGTGCTGCTGTACTCCTGGTACTCCTATAAGGACATGGTGGCCGGCGGTGGGTGGTTTATGACCATGAACTACCTGGTGCACGCGGTCATGTACTCCTACTATGCGCTGAAGGCCGCAGGCTTCAAGTTGTCTCGCAAGTTTGCCATGTTCATCACGATCACGCAGATCACACAGATGGTGATGGGCTGCGTGGTCAACTATCTGGTTTACTCGTGGATGCAGCAGGGTCAGGAGTGTCCGTCGCATGTCCAGAACATCGTGTGGTCGTCCCTCATGTACCTCAGCTACTTCGTGCTCTTCTGTCAGTTCTTCTTCGAGGCCTACATCACCAAGACCAAATCCATGGAAAGCAAGAAGAAACAGTAAAGTGCACCAAAAGTTAAAAGAGAGAGAGAGAGAGAGAGAGAGAGTGAGTGAGTGAGTGGGTATAAAAGTGGACCAATGTGAGGAGAGTCTTAACGTGTTAGGGTTTACAAGATTGGAGGAGAACGATGAAGAACTGGAGGTTTTACAGTTTAAAGCTTGTGCATACTGTACTACTAACGCATAAAGTTAAACCTCCCCTCCACCGGGGGGCTCTATTGAGCTGCACTGATGAATTATTACTATGATAACTGAAGAAAAAAAACAAAACAAAAATGTGTCTTTACGTGATGTTTATGTGCCCAATGCTATTCTCTATATTTAAAAAAATATAATAATGTATAAATACAAAAAAGGGAGAAGTTTAATAATAAATACACTAGCCTAGATTAAGGAAGCGTGAACGTTCTAGAATGAAAAAAACAAAGGGAATGATTGATGGAGCGAAACAGATGACGAACGAAATCTACATTTGTGTGGTTACGTCTACGATGTTTGTCCTTGAAGTCAACATTAATGTTGTTAGCGTTCCATTTTAATTTTTTTTTTTTTTTATCTATTAGACGCTAGTGTGAGAGGTAGTTTTGTACGAAAGCCATGTCGACGGACGGCCGGTGAAACATTTGCGCTAAAAAAAAATACAAAAAAATGTAATGCCACTGGATGTTTCGTGTTCAGCATTGCAGCGCCAAATTCTCTCAGGTCAGTTTTCCATTTGATGTGCATATCATTTAGGAAATAAGACGAAAAATAAATAAACAGAAGAAACACAATAGACGTAAAAGTGCGTAAGTAGCTACGTAGAACTTCAATGCCATCGAACATGTGCTAAAGAAGAAAAACAAAACGATGCTGAGAGGACAATTTGGACCAGACTGATCATCCAACCATCACGGCTCTCTATCCCAACGCGATTCACTTAACCTCTATGAGCCGAAGGGTCATTGGCCATGCTGCCCTCTATGGGGCATGGTGTGCTTTCTTGCAGCTAGAGGTCGGTGTCCGTCATCTATTCCAAAGACCAATGCCGAAGGGGTCTGAAGCAGATCCTCCTGAAGGAACTTGGAATTTTGAGCATATTTAAACATGCAACATGTCTACATACACTGTAATAAAGCTGTCATTGAATGGTGTCTGTTGTACTGTTGTGCATTTGCATTGAATGTTAAAGCTTCTGTAGATGATCCTGTAGGAACCGAGCGTCTCTTCCCAGCCGAGACCACTCTTACAGCCCTCTCACATTACAGCCCACTCTTATAGCTTTTACAGCAGCAGTTCACTCTTACACACTAGCGCTAAAGTTTGCAATCACTTGCCAGTTTAAGAATTTGTTGTCTGATATGCAGTAACATACTGCTGCTATTGGGATCTCCATTTTTGCCATTTTTCATTTTTTTTTTTGTACATCATTCGAAAAGGCCAGTTCCTCTTTATGATGTGTTAAAATTTCATGATGAACAGACCAATAAAAATTACTTGGAAAAAATTATTTATCCATTTACTTTCATTAAAAGTTAAGAACGTCTTTGTTCATCCTATAAAGTTACCTTTTCGGAGATACGAGGTTTTATCCCAACAGTGATATGTAATGCTTTTCGCCAAAATTTGATACTGTATGATACCGTAATTGTTTATATTCGCTTTTTTGTCAACTTGTCTGCCTTAAAATTTAATTTCCACTTTTGTAATATGATTCATTCTGCATATTAATAGAACTTTCTTCAGCTTTTCCAGACAATTTAGAGCCACTTATGGCTCTATTCATCACTCTGGACACATCTAACACAATTTTATTTGGCATTCTTTTAGTGATCTGAAAGCTGTGAAGTTGATTAAGATGAGCAGATTAGAATCATGCTCTACATTTATCTGTAACAAAATCATTGTTTTCAGTCATTTAACAGTGATTCCAAACTTTTGAACGCTATTGTAGCTCACTCTGTCATATTTCACTCTTAAAGCTCAGTCTTGCACCACACCAATAGATTTATAGAAGTATTCTTATCATAACTTCTATATCTCTTATCTTACAAGTCACTCTTATAACTTTTTTCCCTATAATTCACTCTTACAGTTTGTTTTAAAGCTCACATGTACAATTCAATATTGCAGCTCACTCATTTGATATTAAGCTTATGTTCACTATTACACATCATGCTTATAGCTTACCAATAGCAACAGCTCTCACTCTAATAGTTTACTCTTGCAGATCTTTTATAGCTCACTTATATAAAGAGATTATACAGTTCACTATTGTAGTTCACCAATAGCAACAGCTCATTCTACATCTCACCTAACTTTTCATTCACTTTGATGTCACCCTTTCAATCCTTATAGTTTTTACATTGCAGCTCCCTCTTTGGAGCCCTTACAACTCTGTCTTATGGTTTACTCACAATTTTTAGCTGCTTATATCTGATAGCGCTCTGATTTGTCCTTTTTTCATTATATTTTTACAAATTCTGAACGTTTTTGCTCAGTCCACACTGTTTTTGGTGAGCAATGATGCAAAGATCTCTGCACAGCTGACTGACGAATGACAACCAAACAGCTTTAAGTGAAATGTTTTGTGGCCATAGTTATTGTGTAATCCTGCTCTGTTCTGGTCTTAAAGTGTCTCTACACATTAAATTAAAAAAACCTAAATAAAATGTTCATTAAAAAGGCAACCAATTAAAAATAATGATGTTTTTGATGGTAAATGAAAAGATGGTGAATGAAACTTGTGTCTATTATCAAGGCAAAGGAAAACAATAGCACATAACAAGGACTTTTCAGATGGTGTAACTGCTGGGTACTGAACTGGAATTATCTTTTTTTTTGACCACTTTAGCTTTGAAGCAGTGTCTCCATGACAACGTCATAAAGCTGAGTTTTTAATAGGGCTATAAAACAATGTCAACAGCATTGTTGCCTGAGGAGATCACTACTCTCACTGATGAAGCAATATTGTCAATGTAAAACCTCAGAATTTCACTCTCCTACAAAACGTCCTGCAGAAGAATATATGTGTTTTTTTTCCTTCCCGGCTTAAAGTAGAGTTTCAGAAAAAAAGACTAATTTACACAATTTACTCGTAACATCAAATATAAATGATCATCCAAAATGTCTTTGGTGTCTAAAGTTTGCTTCTTTATTTTTAGCACTGGAGCTGTGAGACTAATGTAGCTAACAAGTGATGGAAGCTTATGAACACCAATTAGCATGGTGCTAACTGCATGTCTACATCATCTCACACTTAATCTTTATTTGACATATAAACCCAATTCCAAAAAAAGTTGAGACAATATGTGAAATGCTAATAAAACAGAAAGCGGTGATTAGTGAATTCTCTGGCTTGGCCTTCTTATGTTGAAATAAGCATAGACCTCCTGAAAAAGACACCCTCTAGAAGGCAGCATGTTGCTCTTGAATGTCTTCAGCATTAATGCCTTAACAGATGTGCAGTTTACCCACTAATACCCCCCTACCCCCCCATACCACGACAGATGCTGGATTTTTAACTTTATGCTGGTAACAGTCTGGATTGACCTTTTCTTCTCCAAAGATCAACGTCCATTATTTCCAAAAACAATCTGACAGGTTGACTCGCCAGACCATAATTCCACTGTGAATCAGTCCATTTTAGATGGGATTCTCAGAATGTTTTGATGTTATTATGCACTGTAGAGGGTAAAATATCTAAAATCCTTGCGATCGCTGGCTAAGGAACATTATTCTTCAACTGTCAGATCTTTTGTTGATGCATTTTTGGCAAAGTGGGACTCATAAAGGACTCAGCGTTCCCTGGACGCTTCCTTTATATCCAAGCAAGATTATGTCATCTGTTTGAGATGTTTTTCTTAACCTTTAACATGGGGCCTTATTCTCCAACCATTCTTAAGAAGAAATTTATTCTTAAAACCCACCTGTGCAGTTTTCATAAAGATTCTAATATTCACTCAAGTTTTCTTTTTTGGGTTATGTCCTTAGGTAAGAACAGATTCTACATACTCAAGAGCACAAAGGTGTGAACAATTCTGCAGTTTAAGAGCACAACAATAGTCGGACATAGACTTTTTCTTAGGACCTTACTCAAGAACACATTTAAGAAAAAACTTTGGAAGATATTGGTGAATGAGGCTTGTTGTTCCTAGTCTTAAATTGGAGCATTCTGCAGGCATCAATTTCAGAATGAACATACATATACAAAAAACATGCAGTTGATAAGATAAAACATTAAATATCTTATTTAGAAATCACTGCTTTTGGTTTCTATTTGCATTTCCATACTATCCCTACCTTTTTTGGAATTGAGTTTGTATGTTTATCTATAAACATGGACTGAATTTCATATTCATTCATGATACCACTCCTAGACATGCTATTTAATATTTGCAGTGAACTGTTGCTTTATGTACGCTATATATGTCCTGTACAGGTATACTAAGATGGCTTCATTAGCACATTGAAATGTGCCAAAAACACTGAGAATAATGGCAAAGGGGAATTTAAACCTCATCACCAAATATGGCTGCTTTATTCATAGTTAGCCTAGCCAACATTAGGTTATATTATTCATAAAATAAAAATTTTACACAGATACTTACACATGAAATGCTTTGCCATAGCCAGGTATTGTTGCAGGAAAACTCAGCACTTTAGTTGAATCTGCGTTTTGACACAACGTCCATAGACGAGCATTTATTTTACAGTGTGCAGCTTTGTTTATGTGTGTGTCTGTATTACGATACTGCAGTCTTGATCCCAGCCTGTAATCAGACTCATGTACAGGACCTGTCAAAAGTTTGGACACACCTATTCATTAAAGACTTTCCTTAATTCGAGCCACCAAAACATAAATGTAGAGTGACCATCAAAAAATATTATATCCAAAATACAGTTTGTCCATACGTGTCCAGATAGTCCTTCTAATGAATGATTTCAGCTACCTTAGGGTTAGCCATTGCTAACACAGCTTGTATAATCTCCATAGAAAAGCACAGACCAATAGAATGGGACACTCTGGAGCAGCTGCACATGAGCCTAAGGTCACCATGCCCAGTGCCAAGCGTGGGCTAGAGGGGTAAAAAGCCCACCAGCAGTGGGCTGTGGAGCAGTGGAATGAGTTGGAGTGATCCAGAACTGACCATCCAACATCAGTACCTGACCTCACTAATGCTCAATCAAATCCTCACAGCAATGTTCCAACATCTAGTGTAAAAGAGTAGAGGCTGTTACTGCAGCAAAGGGGGACAAACTCACTATTAATACCCTGATTTGAGCAGCCATCCACAAACCTTTAGAAATATAGCATATGTGTATGACTGGTTAAGAATGTCTCATTCAAATCACTAATCTAATGCTATATAATACTGATCTATCTAGTCTGTCTAATCTATTTAGGATAAAAAAGAAGCCCCTCTCTCTCTCTCTTTCTCCCTCTTGCTTGCTCTCTGAGGTTAATGAAAGTACAAATGTGTGTTAAACAACACAGATTTATTCACCATGAGCGAACACAGCCTCTTACACATCAAATCACAATGAATATTAATAATCCCAGCCGCAAATTCAATTCCGCCCGGTGCTGCTACGCTGGGCTTAATGAGAATGTGATGTGAGCCGTCTTCATGTTTGCGCTGGCGGAAATGCAGTTTGTCAGACACGCATTAATTCGCTGCACTATTTCATCCACAGATTTGCATATTAAGCTTATGCTAGCCTGCTAACACGCACACATCTGTGCAGTCTGTCATTTAGATTTATTCCTTCCAACATGTGTCATATGCAAGATGTTGGAGTACAAGGCATTTATGCTGCACTGCAGTTAATCATAACATGTCACAGGGCTATTTTTCTGCCATGCCAATGCTAAGGCCTTGGCTAAATGCAGTTTTAGATCTAGATTAGTGACGATGTCTGAGTCTTAGGTTTAAATAGTTGTGTAGGTCAGGGACAAATTGGATTTCATTTATTATTTCTCCTTACCTCACATGCATAGATCCACCAAGGTAGCGGAGCTATAATACTAATGCTGCTATCATTAGAAGCTTATGTACACCAATTAGCATTTTGCAATCTGCGCGTCTACATCACACACGCTTGCCTGAAACCGTGTGGAGGTGTTCAGTATCTCTAATAGACTTTATTGTGT